TCTTACCAAAAACTGAAAATTCTCATTGACTTTCTTTGGCGTAACACAAAATTGTCCATACAATGAAAGCCAACGGGGTTTAGTGTTATTTTGGACTCTTTTATTGTATGGAAAAAAACAGTTATAAACAAATATATTCTTTTGTGTTCTGCAGAAGAAAGTAAAGCCTCATTCAGACTCATTCCAAATCCTTTTTTTTGTGTGTGCATATCCGATTGAAATCCGATCAGATTTAGCAAGTGTGAATGGCAAAAATAATCCGATGAAATCTGTTTCGAGCTACATTTATATGTGGTTTGAAATCCTATTCAAATCGCATTTCTGGAAATCTGTTTCAGTCCAACTGCTCTGATTGGATTTCGCGTGGTTTATGTGACTTTCTCACACCACGTAAACTGTAAATGTCAGACGTTGTTATAGGAAACATGCGTTGTTGCAAAGAGTCGGACGAGCAGAAAATGACAATATTACGGAGACATGTTTTGAAACCGCTGGACAAATAATAGGATTTGGACTGAGAGTGTGAACGTAGCCTAAATCATACAGGTTTGGACCAATGAGTAAATGATGACAGAATTTCCATTTTTTTGGTGAACTATCCGTGTAAATCTAGCTAGATGCATTCACATACTTCCACAGAGTGTGTTTTTGGCCTTAGCATCATTTTTGTGTTTGAAAAACGTTCAGCTGAAGTTCTTTGAAATATGACCGTTTCTGACAATAAATTTATTCTCCTCTTCTCTTTTTCTCTCTCGCATCTCACATTTTCCCAGCTCAAGCTCTTGCAGCTGTCAAATTTGACGGTGAGCCCTTCTGAGTGTCCAGCAGACAAAGAAAAGATGGAAAAACCCCACTGAACACCGAGAACATATGTTTTGCCTTCGTCAAACATTGTATTTCTTTTGATTACTTACGCAATACCAAGCAGAGAAATATTTCAAAATGTTTGGATGTCTGCGGAGGGCTGTTCACGAGGTTATCCGCCTCCACATCTCCGCGCACTCCGCATTCAGAGTGCGTAACCCACGGCAGAACTACGTAATTGAATTAATCAACTGTTTTGACTTGGTTTCGGAGGATGGCAGTCATATTACAAAAAGCTACAAACTAGCCAGGAAGTGGACGATGTTTACAGATTCATATCTGCTCTCGGTCACATTAAGTGATTGGAGTACACACAGCAAATTCATGCTACAGCTGCTCAGGGCGGATTCTGCAGACACAAGCACGTTCGTGACAGGAAAGAGCGCGACGGAGAACGAGATGCGACCAGAGGAAAATAGCCATGCTTGAGGAAGTTGTAAAAACCAGACCAAGGACTACAGCAAAGTTGTCAAAGCCCAGTTTATCAGCAAGTCATTATGAGAGAGATTTGGAACCGCTGGTTTGATCATTATTTGTGTTCAAAACACTATAGCCTCGATCGGAACTTGGAACCATGGCAGACCGTGGACGAATCCGTTGTTGTTTTGATCCAAAGGATGTTGTTGATTCAAGAAGACTTTTAGCATTGGGCACTTCCCCTCCATCAATTTTTAGGCCAGACTCACTGTGACTCCTCCTGGCCTCCTTCTTTCCCACAATCCTCTCCGGTTTCACTATAGGGTTTGAGAACCCTCTTTCCGTCAACATTGCAGTCTCTCAAACCATTGTCAGGCCTTTAAGTACCGTGTGTATCTATAAAGAAAGCATATATATTGATATGACTATTACTCTAATCTTTGCATCAAAGCCATGTGGACTCATCATAGTGCTTTTACTGCTAGGACAGTTGTTACCAAATAATGGTACCTAAATACTTGTGAGCGTGTATGTTAGATTAATGAGAAAAGAAGCCCAAACATTGGAAGTGTCCTTAGAGTTGTAAGTCTGCTTGTTGAAACGATGCGTGTTCATGCGGGGCCAGCAACTTGCATTACAGCCTGTAAATACAGTACTGACATTAAATTATGTAACCTGTTGCCCCAACAGAATATCAAAGCCCTTATTTGTGGATCAGTGTGCCATTTAGAGATTCATCTGGCTTTCTTTTTCTGCTGTGGCACAGTTTTTGTGTAAATATATAGATTGACATGGAATTAAATGGAACAATATTTTGGATTATTTTTCTATCACTGGTTATTACCTCTGTAATCAAGCAGTTTGATTATAATGTATCGTAAAGTAAAGAACAATTTGCCAAACAATATAAATCTCCTGTTTTGTACTTCGATCTTTCACCATATCGAAACCTCTGAAATGCCATGCAAGTTGTTAGCCCATACTGTGCTTTCTGCTTGTTTTTTTTATTTTTATTTTTATGAAATCAGTCTGTCTTAGGTCTAACTCTTGAGCCTTCGCTCGTGTATGAGATATTTGATGAAAAATTGTTTGAAAAAATGTCATTTTTATTTCTCCCGTCGGGTAAAGTCATGGATTTTGTTCTTATTTCCCCCAAACCTGAATCAAGCTAAAAACACAGTATGAGATCTGGAAATGAAAGTCAAATTTCAGAGAAGTAGATTACTCATCATCACTTTTAAGCAAAAACAGCCCTGAACGGGAAGACAGAGATCTATTTTTATTATTTTTCAGAAAGAGAAAAACAAGAACAATGCATTGCATATTTTTCTATGATGTATAAATAAGGGTTTGATTGGTTACATTTATAAAATGATTAAAGAGAGTTTTGATCAGATATATTATGGGGAATTAAGGCTGATATATTTTTAATTTATTGACCGAAACTTTACAGCATCCTTTTGAAGGCCTTGTTTAAGTGTTATTTTGTATGTAATTGGACAAAATGGTCAAAAGTCGCAGTTGGACAGTCAAAGCAGATATGTCTAATATTTGATAAAATATGTAGCGTATAAAGTGGGAATATCTATAATTCAAAATAAGCACATTGTTCTGTGTAAATATTTTTAAATCAAAACACTGTATGTCTTCATATTTACTGCTATTTTAAGGGGGAAAAAAACAAGACTGCTTGAGCTATGCAAATCAAACAAATTAATACTTCATGTGCTTGCTTTAGAAGTACCCTCATGCAATAAAGCGAATGTATTTAAAACCTTCATTTGTAATTAAAACTCTTCATTTGTTCATATCACTTTTTGAACCTTAAACATAGAACAACCATCCTTTAAACATTACACTTTTCTTCATTCATACTTTCACAAACATGCAAATCTTTCTAGAGGTAGAAAGTTGCTGCAACTTGTGAGGTAAATGAATTGCACTCCCATTGAAAATAATTGGGAAAATACGCCACCCACGTGAACAAACGCTTTGCTGGACACAGGGCCTTAAGGTGATGATACACAGGGCAACTTTTTGAGCAATGTTGCCATCAACAGGCAACCAGATGAGACACAGGAGACCAATCTAAATGATCCAGTTGGAAATGTATTGCCCATTTTCAATGGGAAAGTGGCCAAGCAACAATCGCTCTGCAAGATTGCCCAGCAACATTGCTCAAAAAGTTGCCCTGTGTATCATCACCTTTAGTCTTGTTTTGGCAGTTGGAAATGGAATACTCCACAACGAACCTCATATTGAGCCAGACGCCAGTCAATGCATCTTTCCAACATGTGTTTTATTTCTCATAGAAATCCCATCATATTTATGACCACAATCATTCCTGCGCCACTTGTTACAGTTGTAAGTAATGAAGCTTAGTGCTGAACATTTTGCTGAAGATCCCAAGATCTTGGTAACACTTTACAATAAGGTTTCGTTTGTTAACAATAAACAATAGCATTTATTAATATTAGTCAATGTTAATTTCAAAATTGACAAATACATTTTTAAAATCAAATGTTGTATTTGTTAGCATTAGTTAACGCACTGTGAACTGGACAAACAATTAACAATTCAATATGTGACATTAATAAATGCTTCAAAAAGCTCATTGTTAATTCATGTTAGCAACACTTTATTCACTTAATTCATGTTGCTAACACTTTATTGTAAAGTGTTAGCAAAATGCATCTGAGCATTTGTTCCCACTTCCACAAGAGATGATGCTGAGTCAATAGAGATGTGAAAATTCAATAATCGAATTAAAAACGATGGAGAAATATAAAACAAATGTTGATTATATATATAAAAACAATATTTTAAGTTTATTGCAATATATATATATATATATATATATATATATATATATATATTGAATGGTGGAGCTAAACAGCTATTTTGGCTAGTGTTGCTTTTTTCGACTCACTGATTGGAGTAATTTTCACTACAGCATCATGGGTAATGGAGTTTTTCCACTAAGAATTCTGCTGTTAATAGGCCTGTCTTTAAAGGTTTAAAGTTACTGTTCAAAATCAATTTTCCTATAGAGAAAATGAATGGAGAAACAATGTCATTTAGCATTGCATTCTGGGTAGTCGCCGACATTTTTTAGGAAAACGTATGAAAAAAGTCAAAACTGCGAGTTTATATCTTGTAAGAATTGTTAGACATAAACTCAGTCACATTTGTAAGATAGTCACATTTACCTTTTTTTTTTTTTATTCTGTGGCAGAAACAAGGTTCCATACACGGGCAAAGGGGAATATTAATAAAATATCTGACCTTTGAATGCTGCTAGACAAGTCAGAATCAAGTAGGTCTATGCCAGAATTTTGTTTAACTATAGTTACCAAAAGGGTCTCTTATAAAATGACTATTTTTACACATGTTGTTTTGCACTATTTTCTTCTGAACACAGCTAATATGAATATACAATTATTTGTCATGCCAATAAAGCACATTACATACTCCAATTATTTAGATTGGGGGACAGGGGATATTACCAAATTGTGAAAAGGTGTCAGGGCGTACTTTTGGCAGCGTCAGCTCTCATATTAAAGATTAATTAAATTTTTTTTGTGGGATGTCAGGTTAGGAAATAAGGGCAGAGGTTGAGTGGACACATGCATGAGTGAATGGACTGTGATAAAGTGTAAAAGAGATAAAGTGATCATCATTCTAATACGCTTGGTTAATGTTCACCCTACGGTAGGGTTCAAAGTCAAGTATTTATGGGAAACATTCAAATCAGTAAGAACCAAGGAACCAAAACCGGGACATCTGAGCCAAGAAAGACAACAGAGGGGAAACCATGATCACAATCACTGAGTTTCAGAGTGAGTGTCTTGTCTTTCTTTCACTGAATATAAATGAACCGCAGTTACAACTGAACACAGAGACAGTGGTATATTCATTCTGACTTTGAATGTAAATTAATAAACAGAATGAGAATATGTTCTCCCTTTTAAATGACTACAGTAATAATTGCTTGATTAACTAACTAAAAATATAGCTAAACAATCTGTTCTAACTGGATTCTAGAAATCGGTGTGGGTCTGTCAGGATTCGGCATGTTCTTTGTGCTGTTTGGAATACTGCTGTACTTTGACTCGGTCCTGTTGGCGTTTGGTAATGTAAGTGCAAAAGCATGAGCTGTTTAGATATGACACAAACTAGATCTTTGGTCATGGGAAATGTTTTTTAAAGGGGTAGTTCTAAAAATTGGAGATCTGACCAACCATATGTCACTTTTACCAAATATGAAGCTTTTTTTTTTTTTTTGCTAAGCACAGCTAATCTATTCCATAAACTTTAAATCCAGAAATGGTAATAAGCGAGAAAGGGCTAAATACATGAATCTTGGGTGAGCAATCACTTTAAGTGTGTCAGAAAATGACATACAATACCATTCTAAAGTTTGGGTTGTTTTTTCTTTAATTCTGCAAGAATGCATTAAATTGATCAGTCAGAGTAAAGATTTTTTAACATTGTTACATAAACCTGTATTACAAATAAAAGCTATATTTCAAACTAAAATATTGAGCTGCACAATTTTTTTTAAACATTGATAATCAGAAGTCAGCATATTAGAATGATTTCTTAAGGATCATGTGGTACTGAAGTAATGATAAAAATATATTTTTTAATAATAAAATAGACAACAGTCATTTAAATTGTAATAAATGCAACCTAAATGTTTCTTTCAAAAGCATTAAAAAATCGGTATAGTGCACATACATAAGTTTATTTCTTTGTTTTGTGTACTTTCCGAACATTTTCCTTCTCTTGTATTAGATTCTGTTTCTGTCTGGTCTGGCCTTCATCATTGGCTTGAGGAGGACAGTCCACTTCTTTTTCCAGAGAGAGAAGCTCAGAAGCTCCGCCTTCTTTCTAGGAGGCGTGGCTTTAGTTCTACTAAGATGGCCTCGTATCGGCATGCTAGTGGAGACCTATGGCTTTGTGCTTCTATTTAAGTGAGTAAACAGTTGAATCACGCCCTGTCCATGTGTGCGGGGCAGGAGCCTCATTTGGTTAAGATATTCTTACTTTAAACCAACCAAGATGCATTTTGCCTAATCTCATTTTGAAACCTTTTATATTTTTTACTAAATACATGCTATTTGTCTGCTTGAATTGGCATCATTCTTGGATCGTTCCTCTCCTAAACTGACAAATAACACATATCTGTATTGTGTGTAGGTCATTCTTTCCAATGGCTTTTGGATTTCTCTCAACAGTCTTGAACATTCCCTTTTTAAATACGGTATGGAACAAAAGTTGGATCAAAACAAGCACAACCAAAGTATTTCTTTTTACAATACAAATAAACATTAAGGGTTGACTAAACATTCCTCATTGTTTCTTTGCTCTCTTTCAGATTTTAAACAAGTTATCTGGAAGTAGTTCCTCAATGGTGTGATGGCAGATGTTGGACATCTGGATGTGCTGCTGCAGTGCACTGTTCAAATTTTAGATTTTTTTCATATAGTATATATATATGGACTAAGGTATATGATTTATAGTTGTGTGGTTTATTTTATTTTTAATATTTTAGTAAATTTTTATAACAACATGTCCTATTAACTTAAGAAACTACTATATCATAACTTAAGAATGTTATTTTTGTGTTCAAAACATATCTTTTTCCATTTAAAAAAAATATAATATGCTGCAATATCAGGGTTTGATGAGCGCAAGACATACGTTGATCTGTACTTTTTACATTTCCCTCTTGAGATGAACACAAGCAAAAATAAAATGCTGGTGATCTTGTAAAGCTTCTTGGCCTGCTTATGAAAGTTATGAATATATATACAGGTCCTTCTAAAAAAATTAGCATATTGTGATAAAGTTAATTATTTTCCATAATGTAATGATAAAAATTAAACTTTCATATATTTTAGATTCATTGCACACCAACTGAAATATTTCAGGTCTTTTATTGTTTTAATACTGATGATTTTGGCATACAGCTCATGAAAACCCAAAATTCCTGTCTCAAAAAATTAGCATATTTCATCCGACCAATAAAAAAGTGTTTTTAATACAAAAAAAAAGTCAACCTTCAAATAATTATGTTCAGATATGCACTCAATAGTCAATACTTGGTCGGGAATCCTTTTGCAGAAATGACTGCTTCAATGCGGCGTGGCATGGAGGCAATCAGCCTGTGGCACTGCTGAGGTGTTATGGAGGCCCAGGATGCTTCGATAGCGGCCTTAAGCTCATCCAGAGTGTTGGGTCTTGCGTCTCTCAACTTTCTCTTCACAATATCCCACAGATTCTCTATGGGGTTCAGGTCAGGAGAGCTGGCAGGCCAATTGAGCACAGTAATACCATGGTCAGTAAACCATTTACCAGTGGTTTTGGCACTGTGAGCAGGTGCCAGGTCGTGCTGAAAAGCTTTTCAGCAGATGGAAGCATGAAGTGCTCCAAAATCTCCTGATAGCTAGCTGCATTGACCCTGCCCTTGATAAAACACAGTGCACCAACACCAGCAGCTGACATGGCACCCCAGACCATCACTGACTGTGGGTACTTGACACTGGACTTCAGGCATTTTGGCATTTCCTTCTCCCCAGTCTTCCTCCAGACTCTGGCACCTTGATTTCCGATTGACATTCAAAACTGAGCAACAGTCCAGTGCTGCTTCTCTGTAGCCCAGGTCAGGCGCTTCTGCCGCTGTTTCTGGTTCAAAAGTGGCTTGACCTGGGGAATGCGGCACCTGTAGCCCATTTCCTGCACACGCCTGTGCACGGTGGCTCTGGATGTTTCTACTCCAGACTCAGTCCCCTGCTTCCGCAGGTCCCCCAAGGTCTGGAATCGGTCCTTCTCCACAATCTTCCTCAGGGTCCGGTCACCTCTTCTCGTTGTGCTGCGTTTTTTGCCACACTTTTTCCTTCCCACAGACTTCCCACTGAGGTGCCTTGATACAGCACTCTGGGAACAGCCTATTTGTTCAGAAATTTCTTTCTGTCTTACCCTCTTGCTTGAGGGTGTCAATGATGGCCTTCTGGACAGCAGTCAGGTCGGCAGTCTTACCCATGATTGCGTTTTTGAGTAATGAAACAGGCTGGGAGTTTTTAAAAGCCTCAGGAATCTTTTGCAGGTGTTTAGAGTTATTTGGTGATTCAGATGATAAGGTTAATAGCTCGTTTAGAGACCCTTTTCATGATATGCTAATTTTTTGAGACATGAATTTTGGGTTTTCATGAGCTGTATGCCAAAATCATCAGTATTAAAACAATAAAAGACCTGAAATATTTCAGTTGGTGTGCAATGAATCTAAAATATATGAAAGTTTAATTTTTATCATTACATTATGGAAAATAATTAACTTTATCACAATATGCTAATTTTTTTAGAAGGACCTGTATATATTTTAGAGGAGTGTTTTTCCAATCATCTCATTTCTATTCCATCTGTCTGCTCCCCCCAACTTCAATGAACTGCCCTCAAATAGAAAATCAAATGATATCGAGTTCAAATATAAAGGCTTTGTGGTTCTGGAATGTTCCGGTGAAATGGATGGGTGGTGGACCCACCCCGGGGCAAAAAGACAAGATCAGAGGGAAAGAGGGGAAGCTTATGCAGGTCTCCCACCCACCGGGGAGGCTATGACGCAGGTGATGTTGTATGAAAAAGATAAATTGTGTCTGAAGATTGTATGAACCAAACACAACCTCCATACCAGCAGGTGTAAAGGTAAGCCATTTACTTTATTCTCCCACTGCCATGAAATGTTCATGTTTGCATTGAGTTTCATACATGTTAGTGTACGTGTGTAAGCACACATTTCTGTGTGATGGTCCATTTGAAGTCTTTAGGGTGTGTAAGCACACATTTATACATTTTGTGTGATGGTCCATTTGAAGTCTAGGGTTTGATTGATGGTTTTACATTTACATATGCATTTGACATATTTTTCAATGTGATTACAGATTACAGTAAGTTTCTTTCTTTTTTAATCAGGTCTGCGTTCACTGGAAATATGCATTTTTGCAATGTTTTTGTATAGGAAGGTAAAACCAACCCAAAAGGGTCTGAATGAAGAATCCACTTTTTTGTAGTTTCTATGCTTTTCAAAATGTTAACCAATCCACATTTTGATATCGCTAATTCCATGTTCAATTTGAGCCTGTGTGGTTTTGCAGAATGATTTTCATTTTTCTTACGCACCTTTTACATTGCTATTTTATCCTTGCTCAGCAGTTGATATTATTGTATTACTTTTTTTTAATCATTTACATCTATAAACAGAATAGGAATAGGGGTGAAAGGCTGATTTCTGATGCTTTTGATAACTTAAATTCTCTTTGAAGTGTGTGTCTGAGTTTGCGGTGTGTGTGTGTGTGTGTGTGTGTGTGTGCCCGCGCGCTGTGTTTGGTCCTTGTAAACCCTACTACAATACATTATGTATGCACAAGAATGGCAATACAATGATGGGACACTTTTTTTTTCTTTTTTTCCAGTAAGGAAAAAAGCTTATCATACTGAATTATGTGGTTTTGATTATTTAAAAATGCAATGTGTGTGTCTGAGCTCAAGAGTACGAAAAGATGCAGATAAATGTCGCTGAAACGTGTGATCTCTTAATGAGTCTTCTTGGTACCCATGATTCAGAAAATAACTATGTGTACTGGTTTCTAATTACATTTCTTTCTTACAGAAACTCATTTTGGTTCAAAACACATTCAAAATGATGCTACTTACCATCATTTTGATGATGTCAGTGGCGATTCAAGACACGTACTCTTCTTCAGTCCATTTTCAATATTACTTAAAAGGTAAGTTTAATGTTGTGTTAACTGGAATTAACTTCTAATAAATATATAAAAAATATAGCAAATATTAAAATGTGTTAAACAGTCTTAAGGCAACAAATGACAATGCAACTGAAAAGAAAATAGCCATCTAAGATTCTAGATGCATTGTAGAGGTTTTAAAATCTGTGTCTTACAACATTTACTATTGTCATAACAGTTATGTTATGTTTATAGTTATATGGAAAAACTTCATAATGTTGATCAAATATATCAAAAGCCTGTATTGGACATGTAAATACTGTAAAGCATAGTTTCACTTTTCTGAATGAAACACCTATCTCTAGATGAAACTCCTGAAGGAGCATCACTCCGGGTTCTCAGGAGAACTGATCCTCGTCCCACAGCTGGATCTCCTTCTCCCAAACTCTCGCACTTCTCCATGGGTGCAGATCCTCAGCGGAGGATGTGGTGGGTGTCTCCAGAAAAGCCTTACACAAAAAGAAGGCAGCATGTTGCATACTACAACCTCAATTCCTTCGGTCTCCGCTATGGGAAGAGAGAACAGAACATGCTTGCAGGATTTAAACAGAAGATTCATGTAAAGTGAGGTCCAGTAGACCTTTTTTTTTCAATTGTATATTGTTCTTTGTGTATTCTTTGTGATCCTTTAATCATCGGCATGTGATTGATTGTACTATTGGATGGATATGTGGACATAACATCTCAGACAGCAACATAGTGTCAGCCCAGATCCAAGCCCACATCTGGTACACGTTGATTCCACACGGCCCAGACGTGGGCTGCGTCTGGGCCAACACTATGTTGCTGTCTGGGATTAGTGGGATAGTTCATAATCTTCACTATAAAGAGGTGTATTGATAACTTTGAGGCCCCATTTTACTAGTAATTAAAACATTATCAAACAACCTGAATAAAGGGACTTTATTTGGTGACATTTAAAATAAATGGTAAAAATGTTATTTAAAATTACTGAATCGTAAACTAGGTTCAATACATTAGGTCAGTGTTTCCCAACCCTGTTCCTGGAGGCACACCAACACTACACATTTTCCAACTCTTCCTAATCGATCACACCTGAATCAACTCATCAGCTCGATAGTAGAGACTCCAAGACCAGAAATATATGGGTCAGAAAAGGGAGACATCCAAAATGTGCACTGTTGGTGTGCCTTAAGGAGCAGGGTTGGGAAACACTGCATTAGGTTACACCCCTGAAAGTGATTTGATTTTTGCGTGTGTATACTATATGTAATGTACTTCCTTTTCACACACTCTGATGATAAAAAAACGAACATGTTTTTTTTGTTTTGTACAAATAAACTGTGATAATACTTCATGTTGCCACATCCAGCAGAATCTGTAAGTTGTTAAAAAGTTCTCTGATTATTTCCGTATGCATAAACTGTTGCACTTACAACCAAAGTGAACTGCTCACTATTAAAATATACTATCTGTTAGTTTTGTTTCTGATCATCAAAATGGCACAAAGTTTGATCATTTAAAGACTGGAGTTAAAATACTATCTTTTCTACTGTATGTGATCTATACTAGGATTGTACATCAATAATAATACAATTAGAAATAATCTGTAAAATTGTATTTTTTTATTTTCAAGTACAAATTGTAACATTCAAAGCATCTCTTTCAATGAGCAAGATATTTTGGTGCTGTATCTTCAGTGTTTAACCTTATTTAAAACTGGTGACGCTCAACCACAACTTTCCACTGACTCTAGATGGTAATCGCTGAGCGTTTCCGTGGTTGTGCTTTTGAGAGGGAACTTGATCAGCACTTTGAAACAAATATTAAAGACCATTATCAGAAACAATTTGAAAAACGAAATAATTAGTGCGAGTGTCTGAAGTCATGATGTGGATCATACACCCTGTGTTCATTTTTACACTCTGCATGTTTCTCTTCAATGTGCTGGCAGGTAAGACACGTGGCACAAACTTTATTTTTTTCAGATATATTTTTTAATAATGCTCAATAGGATGATTGTTTAAAACCAGAAATGTAGGGTATCTAGCTTAATATAAAATGATATAATAATAATAATAACAATAAAGTAAGATAATGACTGTAAAATTCTTAAAGAAAATGTGCAGTGTGCAAAATACAAAATGATTATGAAATTAATAGAAACGTTTAATTATATACCATATGTATCACTATAATACAGTTGTTATTTAAACAGTTAACCCCCTTGTTTAAGATCTGAAAGTTGTGATCAAGTAAAACTTTTTTTGTGTGTGTGTGTGTGTGTGTGTAAATGATGAAGAGGCAAGCACAAACGTGTACATATATCATCTGGAATGGAAAAAAAAGATACAAAATATTTCTTATGTGCCAGAGAATGATTTCGAGTCAACAAATAGTATGCAATATATTGATGTAAATTATGTTGAAATGAATCTGTGATATGCAATTTGTAACTTTGTAACATATGAAACTGAATCTAGAATAATACAAAATCAGCACACATTGCCTAGTTGATCACCTGTATCAGTTTGTTTGAATCCAAATGAACTGTATTGATTCCCACAGATAATCACACAGTTCCAGCTAACAATTCAAGCACAGAAGACAGAGTTTGGTAATTCTGCAAACATAACAAACATTTTTGGTAGATTTACAATGCAACACATTATTGTATACTTTTAGCCTTTGAGTTGTACAGTAGCTATTTTGACTTCTGTGAGAAGTGACACGTTGATGTCGTACAAATCGGCTAAATGACTTGAAATAGTTTTTGTAATTGTGTAATTACACAACTTAATCTTGTGATGATTCCAGTTATCAACATTTATGTATGCATTGTTTTAGTGATGTTCCTCATCCGTTATTGTACGGCATCATCTGCTTCCTCGTTTTCTTGGTTGTCTTTCTCCTGATTCTTCTCTTTAAAATAGTCATCTTGATGCAAAGTGGTGAGTGCATTACAGTAGCTACTACGTTTCATTGCTTATTTATTCCTTAACATCATAGGAAACCATGATTAATTCAAAAGATGTAGCTTTATTTAGTATAGTATGTGTGTGATTTTTGTTTTAACTCAGGCTTTAGAAGAGACACTATCCACATAGCCAGCGACACAGGAGAATCAACCGCTTTGCGTCAGAATAATACATTAAGTGTTTCCCTTCCTTCAGGCGATGGTAAAAACACGTTTTACAATTCGTCTTACCGTTCATCCACTGAGGCTTTCACGCTAAACTTTGGCCTTGTCAATTAGGTGGAGATAATTCATCCTCTACTAGTTCTGGGACCCCTGAAGGCTCGGTAAGTCATTTGAAAACCATTCTCCTTGAAATACCATCCATTATGTATTCCAGATGCATCACGTGCCATTTTAATGGTGTTGCCATTCTTGGTAACACTTTAGAATACCGTATCTTACTTACTGCATAACTAATAAGGAATTATTAAAGAACTAGTAGGTAATTCTTCATTAACTACTTCTTCACTGCTGTTAACTACTATGTGTTAACTAATCAGTATGTAATAGAATTTTATGATTGTGTTAAGTTACAGTTATCAATAACTAATGAATTCTGTCATACCTCCTGAAGAACTACTAATTATCTACTAATTAAGGTTCAAGAAAAATAACTATGAATGAAGTAACTACTAATGAACAGTCATACACAGTAGTCACTACAATAATCCATTTTTTTTATAGCATTGTAGTGGTGGAAGAAGTACACAAATCAAGTGCTTGAGTAAAAATACAGATTATACCACAATAAAATATTACTCCAGTAAAGTTATAATTAGGCCATTTTCAAAATGACCTTAAAAGTACAAAGGTAATTAATTTTAAAGTACTTAAAAAGTAAAAAGCATATTATTATACTTAGTTCTTATACATTTTAAACTTATTTTGCACCATTCAAGTTCCGGCAATATCACGGTAGCCCACATTTTACAGTGATTTGGTGATGCAAGAGCGCGGGCATTTGCATCCTCTTCTGGAGAGTTCTCAGCACCGCGATTTGTTGCATTTCTTCTGCCAAATACAGGTTTGTGTGCATTTTATTTAACCTATAAAATCATTACTGTGCTGTAAATCATTTTATTTTTTTTATACAAGGATGCGATGTCAGTTAGCCTACCTAGCTAAGGAGTCGGTCTTTTTTGCGTGATGGAAACGCCTGATCCCTTGCAAAAAACAAATTATTTTATTCATAAAGATAGTAAATCTATTTACATCAGATGTTAAAATATGTTCTTAGAGCTGTGCACTGTTTGTTTATGGGCATTTGGGCAGGTTATGGAGTCAGTCACAGCATATTTCAGCTATGAGTGAAACGCAGGGCCGCTGCGGTCTGAAGTTAAGCAGTTTCCCTGCCGAACACGAGCCCAGCTCCCGCAGGAGATCCAGCAATCACTACCGTGGAAACGAGACCAGTTGATTGACGTTACTTGAATTACTTTTAAAGGTTTAACTTTTGATTTTAAAATGTTTGTTAAATGAGTTTAAATATAGACTGTTAAAACACATGTCATTAAAACAAAATATCATCTGAAATAAAGGAAGATAGTGTATTTTACAAAGGTTATAGATGATTACGTTAATAGTGTTTTTTTTTTACAGTAAGTTTTATTTGAGTCAGAAGTATGTGGTAATTCTTTATTAATTACTAATAATAAGTTCCCTATATTTTCACTTTAGAATACTGTTTCAGGTTATAAGTAGCCTAATTCCTGGATAGTTATTTGATAATTCTTTATTAATTACTAATGGGTTCCCTGTATTTTCACTTTAGAATACTGTTCCAGGTTATAAATAATTCCTGAAGAATTATCTAATAATTCTTTATTAATTACTAATAAGTTCCCTATATTTTCAGTTCCCCTCAGTTGTTGCCTAAAATACATGAATTTACTCAATGGCATTCTATGCTGAGGAAAACAGACACAGACAGTACTGTATATAAAATATATAAAAACTAATCTGAGGTTAGTTTTGTATGACTGTCATTAGTTACTTCTTAGTTATTTTTCTTGAACCTTAATTAGTAGATAATTAGTAGTAGTTCTTCAGGAGGTATGACAGAATTCATTAGTTATTGATAAACTAACAGTAACTTAACACAATCATAAAATTCTATTACATACTGATTAGCTAACACATCTTCCTTAGTAGTTAACAGCAGCGAAGAAGTAGTTAATGAAGAATTACCTACTAGTTCTTTAATAATTCCTTATTAGTTATGCAGTAAGTAAGACACGGTATTCTAAAGTGTTACCCGATTCTTTATTAACATTTTTGTTTAATATGGGATTTTGTTTTTGTTTGGGTGTCAGCTGGCAGATCTCTCTCAGCGGTATGCAAGCCTTCAAGACCGTTCTAAGACTTCTGACTACATAAATGTTGCAGAGAGTGCTTCACCTGCACGCGGGGACTTTCATAATAAAAAAATGGATATAGACTATGTGAATGTTAAAGAGTCCCAACGGAAGAAGTTCGACAGAAAAGGCCAAGCGAGCTGTGATGACGGTACTAAAAGTGTTAGCAGCGATGCTAGCGAGGAGTCTGCTGTGAATTACTCCAAGGTTGTCTTTACTAAGACGAACAGATAGGCCTAAGTAAAAGATGTGATTAGCTTTTGTAAAAAAAATTGGCTTAAACGAATCACTCACCCACCCAGAAATGAGAATTATCATCATTTACTCACCCTCAAATCCGTATGACAAGAATGTTTCAGTAGTTTTTGCCCATACAATAAAAAAAACTCCAAAGTAACATTGCTTGGCTCCAAAGTAACACTGCTTGGCTTGACATTTCATTTTATGGACAAAGAAATAGCCTAAAAAGTCTACTTTTGTGTTTCACAGAAGAAATTGGTTTGGAACAGCATGAGGGTGAGTAAATGATGACGGTGGTTTCATGTTACAGTTTAATAGTCCTTTTAACATTCTGTAAAAAGGAGTGCGCAAAAAGTTACAAATGTTCATATTTTCAGAATGAAAACATACCATTTTAAACATGGTTACCTACGCATAAGAGATGGGAGGCAATTTTCTTTTTTCCTGTGAATTCTCAGCCGCACTTTTTAGTGAATTTTTCAGATCATAAAACACCACATCCTGACAGGAAGGAACCAGACATGCATCTGTGAACAGTAATAAATAACTCATTTAAATGTGCAACCTGATAACAAACATGCCCCTTTCTTCACTATTGGCACTTGCTTTTCCACCGTCATGCATCATTTTTCATTTAGGGCCTGTGGGAGACCATAAAAATCTCACGATTCACCAGG